TTTTGTCCCTAAACACTAGCTCATGAAGTTTCTGAATCCGAGCTCTGCGTGACAGTCGAAGCCCGTCAGAGCGACACAGAGAGGGAACTAAACAGTTAGTACTTCCGTGTATTACTCTTTCCCCAGCGCTGTAGTGTTACCGCTCAGCAAACACCCAATGCCACCCTTTCTTGCACAGATGTGAGCAGAGGGCTGGCCCTGGGCGGATCAAAAGGACCATCGGATCCAGCCAGAAGCGTCCCGCGTTCACCAGCAGATTTATCTGGAAAGCCAGCAGAGACGTTTGTCTGAAATGCAGAAATCTGTAGCAGGAAATGTTAAAAGCGGAAATGTCTAGCGGGCCCAGGGGAAAGGGATTCATCCATCCCGGCCACAAGCTACCAGCAGGGAAGGTATCCCAGAATCCTTTTGCCCAAGCTGATGATTGAGCTCATGTTGTAAGGCAGTTCTCAGCAGCTTTCAAAAAGGGAACACAAATTTATCACAGCTATGGAGTGTTAAATTACCTTATCAACACTGGGTTTTCAAATTATTTTATAGGACTCCATGGAAATGCTACGGCCTTGAAAGCACTGTCTAAAATGAGCCAGATCCAGTGCGAAAGGTGAGGGCAAACACACACCATCTTGCTTGTGGTGGGACCAACACGGCCACACAGACGGACAGACCCGCTCCTGTCAGAAGTCAAGTCTCAGGATTCTGCATCCCAGCAAAACCTTCTGGGCCACAGCAAAGACAGTTCCAGCAGAGCCTAGCCTCGGGGCGACAAAGGCAGGGACGACGGACAGAACCCCAGACAAGAGCTCACATCCTGTGCTCAGAAGAGCCCCTGGAAGAGTGCCGCGTGGTGCAGAGCACGTGGGTCTCACCCAGTTCCCCATGGTGGTCCCAGAAACCTCTTGGCTCTGGTGTGTTCTCATTGGCTGAGGGGTGTGACTCCTAGAGCAGAGCAGGCAACCGCTTTTCAACTATGGAGAAGGGGCTGTCAGGCAGCGGGGAAAGCCAGGGTGCCCCCTGCAGCCTTGAAGTGAAATGCCAGCTCTTGGCACTGGGAAGGCGAGGGCTACGCCAGCACCATCTTGCTTGTGGGCACAGCCCAGAGGGTGGAGGCATTACGCCTGCTGCTGCTGCTGCTGTCTTTCTCCCAGGCCGTTCCGTGTCAGCCCAAGGCAGCCAGGCTCTTCCAAACGAAGAGACAAAATCTGGCAGAGGGAGCGTCTCCTTTGGTCTTGTGGCGCGGCTGCGACGGCCCCAAGTGAGCGAGGTAGAACTGCACAATGCGTGTCGCCGGACACCAGGCAGCGCCTTTTGTTGGGGCTGAATATGTCACGACCAACAAAAGCAGACTGGATTAGCTGCAGTGGATTAAAAGATTTTCTTCTGAGAGCTGACCTCATAATGCAACACTTGCCCTCCCGGGGCCTTTGAAACTGACACGCCTGGGACTCAGCGGGCTATTCATCTGCAGCCCAAGGGATGGGAGCGTCTGGCTAGCCTGGCCGGCTCGTCCTCCAGCACCCTCCTGGTCTCTGTAGGAACCGTTCCCGGCACAGGAGGTGTGGAAGGACGGAAGGAGCCCACCACGCTCTAGGTCCTTTGGGGAGGAAAACTGCCACTCGGAATCAGCTGGGCGGCAAAGGGAAGCGCCTCCGAGCTCCAGCCAAGGACAGCAAGCCAACGTGTTCCTCAGCAAGAAGCTGACCCAGGAAAGCCTGACGGCAGAGTTCAGCAACTTCCCCTCCTCCCACCAGCCAAGAGACGTTTGTCGCTGCCCCTCTCTAGAGGCAGGACTCCTGCGGCCGCCACTGAAAAGCGGGGCCCTCTGCTACGGCCACAGGATCACAAACACGGAGGGTGGGCCACGGGGGCAGCAAAGGAGAGCGTCCCCATCCCCCTCTGACTGCGCACATTCTGTGATTCTGGTGCCTTCCCCCCCCTCCTCCCACCACCAGTGGCCTACACGCAACTCTGTCCCACTCCCTAGGCTTTGATCTCCAGAAGGCCCGTGGACACACACAGACATGGGGACGGTGGGAAATGTGGGTGCTGCGTTCACTCCTCATTTCCCTGACAAATGCATTTTCTAAGCTCGAGCGATTTTGCAGCAAATTGTGGGCCTGCAGGGGGTGGGGCCTGCGGGCAGCCGGAACAGGGCACGGACCTCTCCCTGCGGGAGCCCAGCCGGGGGCCTTTAATGGGCTTGTGTTGCCAAATGGGATCTGAAAGGCCTACAAAGGCAAGCTGGAGAGAATGGCCTTGGACTTCCCCGTCCCTTTGTCTGTGCTTCCGTGTTGTTTTTGGGGAGCAGGGTGGGGCGGCGCCTGGCGACCAGCCAGGGTGGGCCTGGGCTGGGAGCCGGAGGGAGCCGCGGCCAAAGGAGCGATCAGCGGCGCTACGTGACGCCTTCCATTGTCTCACCTGCCGTCTGCGCCGCACTGCCCTCCGGCCGGGGTTTTCACTGTCCGCCATGACAGACGCCATCCAGAGCACTTTCCCAGACTCTGGGAACCGCTTTCCCTTTCGTGGAAGCAGCCGCTCGGCGGGGAGATGGCAATCTTGACTTTGTGCTGCGGCTTTGGCTCCTCCGCCTGATTGGCTGAGACGAGGACCAAATGATGGTCCTTCAAATCCTACCGTCACTATGGCAACCGGCCCCTGTAGGCACCACTGCCTTAGAACTGCTGGAGAAAGTGGCCAGTCTTGCATTCTTCGCATCCCACCCGGAACTGCTTGGCTCCTTCCTTCCTTCCTCCCTTCCTGGGGGAGGGGGAGACAGGCGTCATGAACTGGCAGCAAACTCTTCCAGCAAGGTGGCAATCTAACACTGCCTCCCTTTCCCCATCTGGGCAGCCTTCTCTCCTGGCTGCAATGTGACTTGTTCGTGGGGCACTTTTTATGCAAACAGCAGGCAGAGCCTCCCCCAAAGGCCAACCTGACCACCCCTGGAAGGAGAACAAAGGCTGATGATGGACAAGAATGGAGGGCAGTGAATACGCGGAGGGCAGAGACCCCTTGCGTCAGTTGCTCATGTCTGTCTCACACTTAAAGCAGGCCAAGGAACCTTTTCCCCACAACACCAGCAAGAAAGGGCAGCAATTTGCACAAGTTGGGTAGCCCAGGAACCTGAACGGCACCATCCCAGCCGCCAGCCACAGGAAAGGCAAGCGCGCCCACTAGAGCTCAAGCGTCGCCACCTGGGCTGGACTCTTCCAGCCGGCCTCCCTCCCGATCCACCCTGCAATGGATGAGGCCGGGGGCCCTGCAGTGCTAGAGGCCCGTGGTGGTCCCATGATGGACTGCTGCACCAGGCAAGGGCTTGGCGCGCCTGAGACACACCCCAGCCGGGCCGGCCAGGGGCAGGAACTCCTGCGTGGCCAGCTGAGGCAGTCGCCCGATCGCAGCAGCCCCCCTCTCTGAGCCCTTGGGGACTGAGGCAATGCCCCATATCCCCACTGCAGCTGTGGAAAAAGAAACCCACACAAAACCAAGAGAAGCCAGACAAAACCGGCGTCAGAATGGAATGAGGCTTCCACAGGAGAGGGAGCGGAGCCTCAGTCCGGGGCAGCCACAGGTCAACAACGCCTATGCAGATTGTCTGGGGGAATCCCCCACACACGGGCTTTCTGAAGGGCGGCCACTTCCAGAACCACTGAACACGGTTCTGGTTGCCCACCTCCAAGGAAACAGCCCAGCAACAGAGAAGGTACAGAGAGAGAGAGAGACAGAGAGAGAGAGAGACAGAGGTGAATGGGAGATTTCCTTATAATGTAGAAACATTCCAAGTCTTCAGGAATACGTAAAAGGCCACCATCAAAGGGGACCGCAATGCAGCGCACAAAGGGAGAGCGATCTCTTTGGATATCGATGCCGCGGTCATCCCCCCGTGAAGGCTCTGTGCGAAAAGCAGCATTTCTCCACGCGGTGCGTAGCTCATAACACCTACTGCCCCAGGATGCCGCCGTGGTCTCCAGCGTGGGTCGCTTCAATGGGCTAGCTCTCTCTCTCGTCCAGGGGGGCACTGGCCTGCCCCCCACACTTCAGCAGTGTGAGTACTTCAGAGACACTGAGGCTGGCTGGCTCTGTCAAGCCCTGCTCAGGAGCTTCCCTGGCGCATCAGGCAGAGCGGTGGGGGCTGGGCACTCCTGCATGGCGTCACTCTCCTAAAACACTCGGGGAGGGGGTGGGGACACAGGATGACGGCAGCACCAGAGAGGGGGGCTCCTGCACAGCTTCGTGCAATCTCAGCCTTTACATAAGACAGACCCCACCCCCCCCCCCCCCCCGTGGCTTTTGGGTCACCAAGTGACACCTGCAATCTGCTTGGGAGAATTACTGTTTGTTCCTGACACAGAGCCAGGCTCCCAGTCTGCGATCCCTGGCTAGTAGGAGTGCCCCAAGGAATGGAAGAGAGCTTCCGGGGGCCTCCAAGCACCTGCCCGCTTCACCCGAAGCCGAGAATCCTGGGAAGAGGTAGGTTTCTGCTCAAAGGCGAAACGGCAGCGATCTTTCCCATTCAAATCTCAGATCCTTTCCTCCTCATCGAAGAGGTGCCCGCCAGAGGCAACATTCAACTCAGCAGCCGCCTTCTTGGCTTGTTTCTGGTTAAGGCCGAGAACAGGCCGACGTTGCCTTCCAGACCTCCCTAAGCAGCCCACAAACACCAAGGAGCGGTCAGAGATCCCTCAGCTAAGGAACAAGCCACTGAGTCATTTCCATAATTCACCAGCTCTCTTCTCATTCTCTCCTGCGTTCTGTAACTTCTTATTATATTACTTGTTAGCGTTGTCATCTCAAAACAAGACTGCCTAATTCACTCTGAACGCTGCCCCAAGGGCAACAAGACCCTCGCCATGCTCCTGGCTCCTCCAGGCATCTGGCAGTGATCCGCGCGCACCCCTTGCCCAGTCCCGAGGCTGACATAAGGGCCAGTGGCCTGCGGGGAGGCTCCGGGTCCAGGCGCTCAACAGCTACGTTCAAGAAAAGCCATTCAGCCATGACGGGAAGGCATACCCTTTATTGGTGCTCTGCAAAAGCTTCCTTAACGGAGGAGGAAAACGCAGGTGAAGAGAGTCGGGCCCTCCCCTAGGGCACGTACCTGCAGACACCCTTTGTCACAGTCTGATGCTGGGCACAGCCGCTCCTCTCCTTTGCCTGGAGAATTCCGACACGATCCAGTCTCCTCCAGACATCCCGTCTCATGGGCTGCCAAGAACTCAGAGACACGTCCCGCCTGCCCCGCCCCCGCCTGCCCCTTGTCAGTTCCTTTGCTCATTGGCTGGTTCGGATAGTTTCTGCTCCTGGAGCTGCTGCACCAGTTCTTCTACGTAGACCTTGAAGAGGGGAACCGGGTCCTGCAAGACACACACGGAGCATGGAAGAGAAGGAGCTCCACAAAGTGCCTCAGAAGAACTGCTGAGAAGACACGCCCCAAGGACAGCAGGGCCAGCCGGACGCCAGAGAGGCTGCTCTTGGGAGAAGCAGGCCATCAACATCACCCCCCAAAGGGAAGGGGACGTCCAAATCACACACAGCCCCCCCTACCCCCCCCCCCCCCCCCCCCCCCCGTGAGACGCCCAAGCCCAAACGCACCTTCTTCTCTCGGAGCCGCTGCTTTTCTACCGCTTCCTCCAAACTCAGCCCAACCCATTCTGCCTCCTCCTCAGGGATGACAAACTCCTGCGTGCAAAGTAAAAAACACAGGAAGAAGCTAAGGCGGCCCCCGGTGTTGTGTTAGTTATCTGAAAGGGCGATGTGCCAGGTCGTCCTCTGAAACTCAAGTTGGCTACTTAAAACCACCACCAGTTGCAAACCCAGAAAAGCTTTAAAAAAGGAAACAACAACAACAAAAAAGCCCAGCCTGTAAACAGGCACAAGAGCACAGCCCCGGAGTCCTGTTTTGGAGGAGGCAGGGGGGTGCCGATGGCGCGCAATGTCCGCTCAGAACAGCTTGCTGATCTGTTTTCTTCCTCAAGTCACACAATTTCCAGCAGAGGAAAAGCTTCAAGGGTGGAAGACCGAGGCTGCAATCACCCACGCTAAATAATCCACTTTCAATACCCTTTCCAACTGGACTTTACTGTGTGAACTGGCAAAATCCAGCTGGAGAGTGCACTGAAAGTGGATTATTCAGTGTGTATGACCGCAGCCCAAGAGCAGTGCCCGCACTCACAGACACCCACTCTATAAACACGTATGTTGACTCAAAAGCCACATGCAGCAGCCCCCCCCCCCCCCCCCGCTGCAAAAGCTGCTCAGGGTGAGCACGCCTCACGCAAACACCCGGGCCCGCTCCACTGACAATAAGGCAAGAGCACAGGATCTGGAGGAGAGAAATAGCAAAGGAATGGCTGAGACTGCCCACCCCGGCCCACCTCTCGGCTGCCCCGCAATGCCAGAGGACCCCCACCTTGTATTTCTCATAGACCGCCTCTCTCCTTGCAGGGTCATCTGGATGGAGAGCAGGATCGCGGCGAGCAAGCCTGAGGAGCATGGTGCGCTTCAGATCCATGCCCAGTTTGGAACACAGCTCCGCCTTGGGTGTCTGCAGAATCAGAGGAAGCCGTTGAAATCACCGACACTAGCACTTATTACGTCTTATGGTTTAAATCACGGGTGTCAAATATGTGGCCTGGGGGTCGGATCAGGCTCTCCCGGAGGGCTTCTATCAGGCCTGCAGTGGAACTGGCTGTCTTCTGCTTCTTCTTCCAGTTCTGCTGCTGCTGCGTCATCATAGGTTTGCAGCTTACAGAGATACACACCCTAACAGCAGACTCAAGATGGCAACAGCACAGACATTTTGATGCAATAATTCAGAGCCAGAAGTGTCAGTTATCAGACACTGTTAAATAAACAAAATATTGCAGACAGTGCTAATATTTTAAGTGTGTTTTTATTTTAAGTTTTTAAAGAAACCCTTTGTGTTTGTGTCCTTTATAAAGTTTATATCTTCGCTACCTGGCATTACATTTTATGACGCACATGGCCTGGTCTAATGAGGTCTCATTTATGTCGGATCTGGCTCTCATAACAAATGAGTTCGACACACCCTTGCTTAAATGATTTTAGAATTGTTTAATTGCTGCTGCTTAATCTATACTCTTATGCTTATTGTAAATTCCATGCTGCTTTTATGTAAGGAGGGCGGGGATAGAAATTTAATAAATGAAATCAAATTGTAGAGCAAGTCCCTGAGAAAGCCGTGCCACTGGGCGGGGGGGCAGAGCACCTCTTCTACGTTGGGTCCACACCAGTGTGTTGTGTGTGTTTCTTTAAGAGGACTGTATATAAATCAGGAGTACGAAGTGGGAGTGATTGCAAGTTGCAGGTGTATTTTATACTGTGTGGCTGAGAAGAATAAAGCTAACTTGGAGACTGATGAGGAGGCGTTTTATTGCGATACAACACAGTGTTGTTCCCTCTAAGCTGAGTCAGTGTGAGCCAGCTCGCAGTGTTTTAGCCTCCAGCTCACACATTCTGGTCTCTGCTCAGGAAGGACGTGGCTCCAGGGCCAACTGATTCATGCAGGAGCCGAATCGCCCGCTCACAGCTCTCATGGCAGTGTAGCCCACAAAGTCGGATTTCTGCTCACAAGAGGGAGCCTCCTGGTCCCCACCGACCTTGAGGATGTAGAAGTCGAAGCCGAAGGCGGCGTCGATCAGGTCCAGCGTCCGCATGGTCACCGTGACGATGAGCCGCCTGTCCAGGATCTCGCTGTAGAGCTCCCGGAAGAAGAGCTGCGGCTTCCACGTCTTCTTCAGCCGGGTCGAGAGCTTTGCGGGGGG